ATTGTATTCATTTAAACTAATATTCAAATAATAACTAATTATTTCCCGAAGAAAAATTCGAATAACTGAAGAAGAAGAAAAATTTTAACATAATAAATGTGAAAACAAAACAAAATGTCAAGCTGAAAGAAATAAAACGAATGAGGATTAAAAAAGATTACCAACTTTTATTTAATAAAATTTGTTCGAACATATCACAAATTTCTACAAATTTGTTAAAAGACATAGTAATAGATTTTCATAGTTCAAACATTTCATTTATAAAAACAGTGTACTCAGCAAATCACAAACAATTACCATTACATTACAAACAATTGATACATCAATCATTATTAATGTTTCTAGGACAAAAAATAATAATGAAATTAATATAATAAACAATAATATAAAATTATTTAATATTAACAACAATACTGAAATCGTTAAAAATATTCATAACTCACTTATGAAAATTTTATCAAATAATATTACTTTTGCTATACCAAGCACATCAAATCAATTAATAAATTTAAATGGTAATAGTGAATTCGAAAATTTATTACATGAAATTCCATCACAAAATATTATGATGAAACAAATGCTAATATATTTAATAAATCAAAATTAACATTTTCCTCACTAATCTAATTGATAAAAATAAGGTTATAGATCGAACATATTAAAAAAAAACATGAGCTTTACAAAAAGGTTATATCGATTAATACATCATATGGTATTAATGAATTACAAAATATTACAGAACGTTATATAGAAGAAATAAATGTAAACTGTAAACATTGTGGTGCAAAATATTTTAATTCTGAAAAAGTAGCTAATAACAATAATTTGTTTAAGGGGGGAATCCTATTTTTTGGGTAAAAAAATCGATTTTTTTAAATGGAATATTATATTGTAGTATGAAATGTTGGAAATGTGTACAACAAATTTTAAATCAAAATTCGTAAAACTTTAGTGAAATTATAAACAATAAATAAAATCGGCGCGCAGTTATATAACTTACAAGTACCCAAATATTACATTCCGATTTTAATGAGTTTTTAGTATGTTGTTCTCCAGACTAAAATAAGCGACACATATTTTGTTTACACCCATATGCACTTTTAAGGTAAAATACTAAAAAAAAAATCGATTTTTCTCTTTCGAGCGAATATCTTTGAAACTATAAGAGGTAGAAAAAAATTTCTAAAATGAAAATTGAATGGTTTCAAGAGTATTTTATAACTATAATAACAAAAATTTTGTTTAGATTGTTTATAATAACAATTATTTATTTATAAAAAAAAATATTTTATTACAGTTCTAAAGTACTCTTAATGCTAGTCAACTTTCATTTAGAAAATTTTTTTCTATCTCTTATGGTTTCAAAGATATTTTCTTCGAAACAGAAAAACCAATTTTTTTCAAAAGGGTATTTCAAAAGTGCGTATGAGCACGTATAAAAAAAAATACGTTTTGTTTATTTTTGTCTGAAAAACAACATACTAAAAACTCATCAAAGTCGGAATGTAACATTTGGGTAGGTTTATTTGTTAGCGCATTGAAACTTCAAACGCGTTTTTCTCG